ATTTCAAACTCTAGCTTCAATTATAAATAGTTCGATATAGTGCTCACAGCTTAGTCGTCTGCACGTATAGGTTGGGTGATTGTGCTGTATAAAATCATTTTGCACACTACAAATTCATGTTTGCTCCGTGCGGCTCTGGCATTTGCATGATGTTTTGAATACTGCACTTTCCAGACGTAGCCCTGTGTAGCTCAATCTCGTCCTGATATAATATTGCTACGAAATGTAACCGGGGAAGATAACAGCAAGTCGAATCGTATAAATCACACCTTCCAGCTTGACCAAATCCACTTTGTGGTGGTGTAAAGAGGGCATGGGGTTAGCCAAATCAATCGCATGCCTGTATACGCAAGTACAGCGTTTTTCAATGTTAGCCTCAATAAATGAAAAGATTTTGCCAGAGCTTCTATGTCTCGATCCAAAACATAGGACACCTGCTTGCTATGTTGGCAAAAACTTCTTCGGGGAACAATTTGGTCGTATACTCCCCTGTTAAGGTATCGCTGACAGCAGAGATATGAGCTTCAAAAAGGCTGCAAAGGCCAAAATACAGGTATATCGGATCCGTGTTCTGAAAGACCAGTACAGCCCAAGCTAATGGACTGCTAACATTTTGCCAGAGCGACCATCCTGGCCAAAGGTGTAACGAAAAAGGTTTTGTAATCTTGCTTACTTAGTCCTAGCACATTTATTCCAATTGTATAAATTACAAAACTTTACAATCGCACAAAATTAAAAGTATACTTTGATCTAGATGGATAGTCATAAGCACCGGTGATCGGTATTTATACGGTGAGGGGCCCTCGAAAACGAGGTTCCCGTAGTTCATGTGAGCTGCTAGTAGCCCGTCATAAATGAATACAGTTTTGTTATAAGAGGTAATGTATGTTTATATATAGCTTTATTTTGAGTAGCATTAACTTTAGTGTATATACTCCTAAAGTAGAAGATCCAACTAGACACCTAGTTACGGAAGAGGCTCTGGGCTCCACTCCTTGTAAGAGCGCACCAGTCCAATCTCTGCGTAGTTTAACACCGACCTCTCGCGACAGACCTGGGTACGACAGAGGCGCGCAGCGAATCGCGCTCGTACTGTCCGACATTTGTCCCAATTTCGCGATGAGCAAAGCTGTTCATAGCTTAATTGGAGGCGGTGAGTGTCCGCCTCAACGCCATACTTTGTACTCCGTGCAATCGATCATTGAAGGACGATCAAAGCTGACGTCTAATTCACTCTAGCCAGCTTGCAAAGCCTTACTATGGGTTTAATGACATGCCTTCAATACCCAGTGCGCAGATTGATTGCGATGTTTTAGCTGTTTTGCCGACACTCAGTACTGGTGATACAGTCCTAGAGAGAGTACCGTCTTGCATAATCGCTGCCACCTAAGGCATGGGCGGTACTCCTGAACAGTGACGACCTGCTAAGGCAAAAATAAATCTTGACCCGCCGTTGCTATTGTTTCGCACTTAGTATGGGCGAAGACCCGCACGCATAAGTGTTTAAGAGCTTCACCGCGGCCTGAAATAGTCTCAACGTCTCAATTGCTTGCTGACGGCCCCCTTAGTCGGTTTCAGCCCATCAATGACGTGTTTTGGGTTCGGGCTCTTGGTGACGTGATAGGACCGAGATAGGACTTCCAAAAACTCCTCGGTTGCCTAAGGTAACAAGAAAAGCGCGACGCAAATCAAGCTATCAGTATGAGTTATGGATTGTTAATCACAGGATCCGAGCCGGGATCAGCTTCCCGTTCCATTTTGCGAGCAAATTAGGGAGACAACTCCTGGTGTAAAGTACGTTCGTGAGACCAAGCGCTAGTTGTTGCGATGAGGACACGAATCTCGGGCGCAGAGGGTACACATAAAGCGTCCACTTTAGTGCGACATCTTAAAGAGGCGAGTAATTAGGGAGGGTTGATGGGGTACGCGCTCTGTTGGGTTTGCGTACACATGAACTAATTATTATCAAGACCTAAAAGCGAGATTCAAAAGTACCAAAATTCAGAGCCGTGATCAGGTATTATAATCTGTATTTGATATGGTTTGGGGTGATAGGACTCCGTAATGGAGAGGATCGTGCGACATAAAATCCTGAATGATATTGGATGCTGCATTTTTCGAAAATATCCCATGACGATTCCGGCAGAGCTTCCTTAAAAAACTCTCGGACGAAATTTGCTGGCAGCACAATCTTTCAGCATTTTGATTAATTTATAGGCGTGCCTCACCACAGCTACAAATTCGAAATCTGCAGCAATGCGCAACTTCCGGTCGCAAACCTAATCGGAAAACGCGCTTTCATGACCGCCTCGACCGCCAATGACCATTTAGCCAAATTCGAAGAAACGTGCGCGTTCCCATTGCAATACAAATGGAACCCTATGTTCTGTTTTATCTCGGACAGCCAAACCGGGTACTCCAGCTTAATGAATTCGTGCATGATTACATTGCTCTCCACATTCTTTCAAACTTCTCGGGTGATAAAATACGACTCTTGGTCTTCTCATAACGAGTATAACATTCGTAATTGCTGGTCTTTGTCATCCAAGTAAATTGCATCGGCGAATGCCTCCGCTCAGCTTTGGTTCATGGATTCATGTACAACTTGAAGCAAGCCATCGTTGCAAATCCGTTGTAATTTATTGTGTGCGGACTGGCACACTGGAACGTAGGGTCAAATATATATTCACAGTTGTTCACGGGCTTCATTTTCATAAAAAATGTTAGCCTTACGCCGTGTATCACACAAAGTCTTATAATTGTCGATTAACAACGGATAGAAGCAGTTTCAATTAAGCTATGCATCCCTGAGACAAGTAGCAAATAAGTAAATAAAACTTGAGAGGCTCTCCGATTGGAGCGTATGAAGTAATCCTATGTGCATGAGTTAAAACAGACTCACAAGTCAATCGGCGTGCCATGCACCTTGCACAGAAAAAGCAATGACCCAAAGAGTTAACATTAAGGACACGCATATGACGGGTTTGTACGCTCTAAACAGGAGTGATACCGAAAGCCCCTTGGAAAGTTATTCTTATTTGCTCTAATTTCAGTTTAGAATCATAAACTAAGGATAGATTCTGATTAACAGATACAAAATATATCTGCTAATCTTTGCTCGATAAAACATCATTTATTGTATTACGTGACGCTAACAACCCATGTGTACCGAGGACTTCGGACCTTTCCGCTACGGAGTCCCAGCGATCTCATCAGTACCAGTATTTTCAAACAATATAGCTTTGCACACAAACTACTTTGTACCTAAACCATATAACACACTCCTTTGCGATCAGCCCACCTAACGTGACCGTACTGCGGTTCACACTCATTGTTCTTTTAGGCGTTGTGCAAAAGTTAATGCTCAAAGAGCACCCACTTCGCTTGAAATTTGACTTACACTTATCATACTAAAACTGCACTTACAAGCATCATACCCCCCCTTTTGAACCCATGGATCAGCGAGCCCTGAGAGAGATATGCTTCTTGCGGCTGATGACCTTAAATCCCTATTCAGGAAAGGCCGAGGTGTACTCTGATAAATTGGTCATTGTGCCTCAATCAATGCTTAGAAGCACCTATCGACAACGAGTCTTAAATTTAAAGACTGCGTTTCCTGTGACATACTTATCTGCTCTTGGACAACTAGACATACTTAATAGGCTCTTGACTATCATTGGCTCTGACTAGGTAGTTGGCGGTCCAAAGGACGAGAGTGGTACCAGTTAACTGGAGGCGCTAACCGGCTATGAGATTGCGCGGGTGATGTACCGCCAGGAATGCCTCAACTAAATGTCGGTGGAAGTAGAATTGTCTCCCACCGTAAAGCCACTGATGTTGTCTGGCCTTGAACGGCGAGGACAGGAATCTTCCTCTGTGGTGAGAGAAGATGAGATAACGGGGAGTTCAATCATGGCCCAGACGGCCCATCGCGCTAGCAGTCTTTAAGCTAGGAAGCCGTGAGTATGAGTAGGTAATTTCTTGCGTTACCTCTGCAGCGAATGCATTCCCATTTCTAAAAGGACATGTTCACAGACATAACGTGTGCGTAACTGTTGAACACCCGTCAAGAAGCGTGAGATTTTGCAACCAACATTCGAGAGTTGCAAACTCGCATCACGGCGATGGCGACAAGCCCTTTTCCGGAGGCAGTAACAGCTTTCATGTTCGTGGACGATCTTCGAACAGGCGCGGCTTGCTTTAAAGACCCTTCAGAGTCTATCCAGCTTTTTTTGAGGGATGCAGTAGGTGCCGTTTCAAATTCAGGACACAGCTCATGTGCCAAACGGACCGGTTAAAGTACGGAAAGTGGAGGCTTGCGGAACCGGTATGAAGCGAGGAGGAACGTAGCAAGCGAATTTTTCTTGCTTAATAGCTCATACCCTTTCTGAAGACAGAGGTGTCGGGTCGAGGCAATGGGAGCGCCGTGCACTTCGCACAGAAGAAGCTTCTATTCAAAGGGTCAGCATCAACAGTACAGAGGATGTCTCGTGCGCTCAAACCGGGGGCCAAGCGAGCTTTTACGAGCTTATACGTAACTTAGTACTATTTTGCTCTTTGTCAAATTAAAGAGTGACATTAATTTAGTATTGAATCTGATCAACTAACATTGAAATATTGTGTTTTACATTTTTAATGGTCAATTTACATGTATTGCATGATGCGTAGCTAACAGCCCTGGTACCCCAAAAACCTTTTCGTGGCGAAGTCTATCAGCCTCTTCAGTACTCAAGAGATTTCTCAAAATATTGGGTTCGCATATCATAAGGACTCCTTTACACGTAGAGTCAAATCCTCCTCTGTGCAAGATGCCCGGCGACCCCGTAGCCAAGTTTTACAAAGATCATCTTCTCCGTGCATTGACAATAAGGCAGATTTATAATATTGAAATATTTGCATATTTGCGACATTTGGAATTGAAATATGCATGAAAAAATAGACTTTAATGAATTCGGTAGAATTTTATTTGTTGCTGTTCTCAGTGAAACGGCGATTACGAGATGAGACGACCTGATGTGGCGGTGACTACTGTGTCTCACTCGTCGGCTTCCGTCCCACTAGCGCTGAGCAGCAGAAGTAATCGCCGCATGAATCTGTCTACCGGGTCGCTCGCTCCCTCTTCCTCTGTCGCCAACATAGGCGGTTGGTCACTACCGTCTTTCAACCATTTTATGACGCTACCCCGACGCTTCATGCCCCCGAGTTTTAGCGCCTCTACTGGCAACAACGTTTCCAGAAGTCTAGATACCGGAAGTGGCAACGTGGTAGCAGCTATGATACGAAGAAGCAGAAGTGGTGCTTCTAACAGCACAGCGATGGAAAGTCTACCCCACGAAGAGAACACGGAGTATGGCACCCTTGACCACTTTATGTTACGCCCGATTGTACATTTTCAAGGCGCTAGGGACGCTGATGATGCAGTTCCAGATCCAGTGCATCATCAGGAGGAGATCGATCTTACTTTTTCGTCGGAGGAAGACGAAGACGGCGGTCAGGACGCAACAGACAGCAGCGATGTCATCGAGATTTTGGATACAGCGGAATCGCCAGGCATTTCGATGCCGTTTTGTCGAAAACGACGTCGGTCACGAATAAATGGAGACAATTTGGTATCTAAACACCAGCGTATAACGGACATGATGAAAAGTGCTGAGTCTACAAGCATCAATATGCAAAATAGCGAGGTAGTGGAGGAGTTTAAGAGGCGACTTAAGTGCAGCATCTGCCTAGATGTGCTGGAAGACATGACTTCCACATTATGTGGCCATATTTTCTGCGCTGGCTGCATTCACGAAGCGATCCGAGCGAATGGAAAATGTCCATTGTGTCAGCGTCGTCTTCATGTAAAGGACACCCATCGCCTGTATTTTTGAAATGTAGATGAAGAAAGGTGGCGACCAAGTACGCATCGTTTATTTGACGTCTACAACGTTAGAAGCTTACGGCTATTTCTAGGCGTCGCCCATGAAATAGTAATTATTCAGGTTAAGCCGGATTAGCAGACACTACGCAACGCAACACATGACATATAGACGAGGCACAGGTGTCAGCACATAGGCGTGTCTCTCACTATTATTACTCTCGTGACTGAGCCCCACTGGTGCCCAAAAATACAAAAATTGCCCATACGACTCACATACCTCTGAAAACCTTCGTGTGTTTCGTTCAGCAGTTTGGTTGCAATGATGCAGTTTTTCTATCATTACCCGAAGTGCAGCGTTGGATTTGTCGCATAATATGCCCAGGTGTGCTTCTTGACGACTCGTCCCTGTCACATGTCTTCCTAGAGCCCGCAAAAATTCGGTTAAGCTCCAAGCTGCTGTGAGCAAGTCTAGAAATGCCAAATGAATCTGTGTCACAACAGTAAAAATACATTAGATTTATGTTTTGAAGTATGTTTTGAGGCGATATAGGAAACGCTTACGTCGAAAGCGTGTTCATCCAGAAAGCAACATGTAATTGCAAATACTACGTATTTCTCGTGACAGTGACGAATTTCTACCAGTTTTGTAGCCTGTTTCACTTCAAGCTCAAGTTCTGTCCATGCTACCATTAGCACCTATTATAGCACAACAACAGTGAGTTTTGTAATAATACCATTTCGTCCACACATGCATGCACCTGCGTCGCAAACGTTTCATTATATGCCCGCAGAAACATCTGGATCTTGAAGACTGTGCCTCCACACAGCCTGTCAAGTGATGAGGAAAGACTACCTTGTCTGCGAAAAGTACGTAACATTGTCCAAACCTCTCGAAATTCCAGTGATATTAGTCGCACATGGAGCAAGAAGCGGTGCATTTGCTTGTATTGATCCAGCGTCTGAGTATTGATCACAAAGCCCAACGGCCACTTGACGTCGTACAACAATTCAATCTCATTCAGAATTTTCGAAACGGTAGGAATCATTGCTAATGTATTTAGCACTTTCGCATCAACAAAGACGAAAGTCAGAATGACAAAAGGTAGCATACTGCGAAATTACGTACTTTGTGATAAGGCAGAGGTAGTCTCGTAATGAAACGCTTGTACAATACCGTCTTGCTTGACAGAAGCCTCAATCAGTGCCATATTGAGGACGGACGAAAGGCAACCCTTGATGCCCCATTTAGCACGAGTATTTGAGCGTGTACCCACAAGCAAGTCTCGTGCAAAGATATCCATGCAGAGCCCTTCTGACATGAGCATTAACTTACGTAACCAGCAGAGATGCTCTAGTATTTGTAGCGGATGACGAAAACAGTCCAACGCCACCTGCTCAAACTTTTCGGCAAGGAAACGGACAGGATTTTCTATACAACAGTCGACTACCGATGCGAAGGAGTTTAATTCAACTTTCGAAGCGGTCTACACGATAACAATCAATCTGTTAGTGCGTATTTGGGTAGATGGGCACTAGTAAAGGTATTTACATCTGTCAACGCTTGTGTTAAAAGCCCGATATCCTCTTCGGTCAAAAGCGTCGAAAAGAACGGGTGCACCGATGAAAGTGGTAGTCGAGTGTTCTCTAAAATTTGAGAAGCGGCACTCATTTGTGTTCCAATGTCAGATGTCAGCTCTTTACTCCTATTGCTGCTTTTGCTCCTAAAAATTCTTTTGTCGCGAGTTGGATCCTTACGGTCAATCAAGAGCGCTGGAAAAAGGCCACCATTCTCTGCTAAAGTTGATTCCCCGTGGAGCAAATCGTTCAGATTACAATAAATGGCAGCACCGTTTCCTTTTGATGTATATAGATGAGGCACACCTTTTCTGTAAGACTCCCTGTCGATGAACGCAATGTCTTCGTTTGAGCTACTGTCGCTAGTCTTCTCGAGCAATTTTACTGAGTTTCTCCAATATTCAGCATGATTGATTGCTTTGTTTGAGTCCTTCGCTTTTATATACGATCTCCGATCACGTGCGCGGGTCTCAAATGAGATACACGTGGCTGCATCACTATCCACTTCCTTAAAAACTTTCTGCTTGATTTCTGAATCTGATTTTCTTGACGTTTTTCCAGTCATAACTGTCGTTCGCTTAAGTATTTTCTCGTTTGGAACACAATCCGCCATGCCGTCAACAGGATTAAGCGTTGACTTTTTTCTTCGACTTTCTATGATTTAATACGAACGGCAAGAGCATTGCGTAGGTAAAAAAATATTGACACAATCGTACCTATAAGCCACTCGGTCAGATCCTTTCCACGAAGACACTGAAGCTGCTCCCTCGCGGTTGACAGTCGCAATGCACGATCTCGTCGCCATCTCATGTAGTCATGTCGCTCTTCGACACCGACGATTAGCGCAAAATGTCTATGGGCAAGAAGTCATAATAAAATTTTAGCACGCTTGAGCTCGCGAGATAACTCAAAAGGCTTCGTAGTGAACATACTCAGTCAATATTGCCTCACTACCATTCGCTTGCCGATCTGCCAACGCTTTGCCAATCTCATTTATTTGCTTAATATCGTCGACTCCTTGCTGTGTTACCTCGAATTGATGTTTCTTTCCTTCCAATTCTAATGATTGCAATTTTGACTCTCGCCCAGCTTCATGCTTAAACAACACCATACCATTGGTAACCGAAGCAATTTTGATCAGAACACCCGACCCTCTTACGTTCACGCGCAAAACATCTTGTTCTGACTCTCCCACTGCAGCAAAAGTTTCGCCCGACACTTTACCATACGTGTCTTTGTTGTCTAAATGATACATTTCTTCGGTAAATGCCACGTCGTCCATTCTTTCCATTTTTGACTTCCACTTCTCTACAAGCTTAATAGCTTGATCCCCGCGAAGGTGCAACTTAAGAGGTGCCTTTTATATTTGTCAACATATAATGTCATTCAGTATCAAATAAAGGCTAAGTGAGCAGTTCAACTGGGCACTGACCAGATAACGAGTCGAAATTGGCGCATTCACACCACGCAAAAGAGCTAGAATTTGACTGAGGTGAGCAATGACGGAAGAAATGTTACTTAAAAACTTTGGAAGCATCTCGGTAACTTTGTCAGAAAAGTTGTCACTAAACAGCTCATCGCCACCTCCCGTAACAGTCATTGTGAGCATGTTGGCGCTCCACGTCGTGGCGTCAAACTCGTTCTGAGGTGATCCACATGGAAAAGAGGTGTCGATCAAAAAGTGATTGACCATGAAAATCATTGTGAACGTACAAGCAAATCTGTTTTCTCATCCACTTTTCCAGTTAGGATAAGGCTAGAGAGCATCTCTAATAACGGCGAACAACACTTGACTAAAAACCATGTGACCAGCGCATGGTTGCGCCCTGATGAGTCATCCACGCGAAGGGTGGACACGTAATGATGCAAACGGTTCAGAAGCGCTATTCCACGAGGAAATTTTCCTGTCATTCGATCAAGAGACCGAAAACATGTCAATTTTTTTGCCAATTCAGATGCATAAGAATGCATCCCACCCTTTTGCAACAATGACCAAAAGTCATCCACATCGCAGCAGAATGTGACGCCGACATTCTTGGCTACACGGCAAACTCCACGCGTCTTGTATAACACTTTTGTGACAGATATAATGTGGTTTTCCTGATTGTTTTCGCTCGATAAGGTTTCCAGGCATTGCCTCGAGATAGTCTCGACGAGAGTCTAAATTTGAGAAGCAAATTCAAAATTTGAAAAGTATTGACTTTACACTTAGAACAGCTTACTCGATGCACAGATAGGTACAGCTGCAGTGCGTCTCCCATAGCCTGCAGCGTTTTGCCTCCACGTGAGGGATCTTGTGAGTAAAAGAGAGCTAACAACTCCAAGCGCATAATCATGGTCCCAGATATTCTGAAAACCTAATCAAACGTAACAAGCATCAAGCGACAAATAAGCGCTATTTGATTCTGCAAGCACTAGAGAGCGCAGACCTCTAACACAGACATTGTAGACGACACCGTTGTGAATGGAAGCTTAAGCCTCAGCCTTCGAGGCAACTCAAATTCCGCAGCCTGAATATTCCTCCGAAAAACGGTCGACTCTACTCCATTTAATGCTAGCAGAGAAGACTTTGGAGTCAGAACATAAGTCAGCAACAAACTAATCATTCCAGTTCGTTTTACTCGCACCTCTATCAGATCTGCTTCGCATATTTCAAAAAGTGGGTCTCGATTGCAAGCAAAAGAATCCGAGATCTCTTGATCTCGGAGTGACCAATTGTTCTCCCAAGCTGATGGTTTAGCATGATTTTCCGGTAGGCCTGCGCGATCTCCCAAGTCTTCCCACGCATAAGTTTGCGCAACCCAGGTTTCAGCACAATCGCAAGAGCTTTCCAATTCCCACGATGACTCTTCTGTAATGCTGCTTGCAACTCCCCATTTTTCTTGCTGCGCTTGTGATTCACAATTTACATTCTGCGAGCTCCCAAGGGGAGATAGTAATTTTCTTGTTGACAAACGGTTCGATTGCTTCTCAGCCCCCAACGTAAAATGCAAGCTAAGATAATTCATATAGCCTTGACCATGTGGCTGAATTTGTGTAGTATTTCTGCCACCAAAATATTCAAGATCCATGAACTTATGTTGACTAAATGCATCTCTATGTACGTACGAGGTAGTAAACTCATCATCGGAGCTTTGCTGATCCGAGCCTTTATCAGGAAGACTGAAAAATAGGCTAGGCTGTGAACATATACACACGTGATCGTAATTCAGAGCTATAGTGATATATAATAATTCTACTAAAGTATATTTTTCATCAACCGCCACCAACCTGCTTGTTTTGCACCCTGTTAGGAAGTACTCTATCGTCACGCGCGTCGGTACAAGGACACCAAAGCCCGGTGTGTTGACCTGGAATGCCATTGCCAATATTGCTGAAAATGCTACGAGAGTAGAGTCTGGGTGCCATATTCAGACTTGAACAAAAAAGGCTAGATTATAGCTACTCACGACTTCTCTTGCAGGGAAATAGGGGCCTTAAGAAAAATTGCTCGCGACCGCTGCACCATGTCAATGTTACGCATCTGAATGCAATCACCAGGACGAGTTTTTTCATCTGTCAATGACTGGTAAAACAGCAAAAACGATGTAACCTCGATCGTCATTCAAGTATCGCATCAAACAATGGAAACAAATAGTGTACCAAACTGGACTCTTTGCTTGTCAATAGCTTAGCGTCTTCACGATCAAATGTATCTCCATCGTATCCACCAGCTAGCGCTACCAGCAGATGTATGACATCATCCACTACAGCTACCACATACAAAAAACTGCTGTCAAAGCGCCATGTTGATTATATCACTGAAGTGCCGCCTCTTTACTATGCTGCTGCCCCAAATTTATGCAGTGCTCTATTGTCCGGTCCATGCGGTTCACTCTGCAGACACCAAGCTATCAAGCTTGAACATGAAGCTAGACTCATTGCTCACCACGTACGCGTTTGCATCTTGTCCGCAAGATAGCAGCTTTGCACGTATGTCAAGCAGCCCGCGCTGTGCCGACACATTTGTGTCTTTGTGCTACAACAGTCGAATGTTATACACCGAGGTGGCTGAATCATTATTAACAAATCGTACAAAATTCAAGAGACGCTCGTAGATAGCAAGTATGTGTTTAAATTCGTTCGGAGCCTCGCAACAGATGTGAGATTGGAGACGTCGCAGCAGATCAACAACGCCCGCATCTTGGGCCGCCATGCTATTATGTTTTACCCAACCACACAAACTCTACACTAATGGCTTAATCTAAGATACAAGGTCTAACATTACTGTTGTATATTCGCGCTTGCAGTGCCATTCACCAATGTGCTGACTTGACTGTACATGACTTTCATCTACTCTGAGACAGCTTCTAGTATAGCATGTGCCCACTGCCGAGCAAATCTGCTAGAGTCCGTGATTCGAATTGTGTTTGATCCCTACGTTAGAGGAATATAATATTTATTAGCCTAAGGAAGTGCGAAGCGAAACCTGAGCAATGACATCGTACCGAAACGACGTCAAACGTGTAGGGATCAATTTCGTTTACAGTGGTATCTGGAGTCAAAATAATTTCACGTTTTAGGCGACCTGAGGATGAGCCAACCACGAGTAATCGCGGAGCGTCAGTGAGAATGAGCTTTTTAGCAAAGAGCACAATGCAGATTAGTATTGCAATTATCGCACACTAAATTTGATGTTTACCCCTCGTGTGCGGCTGAACATTTTAGAGCGGACTTTGACTGTGGATTCAAGGTAAATGTGCTCATCTAATCCTATACACTCAGGTCGATTCTTTTGGTACAAGCTGTTACTTCGCGAACGCTTGCTACTGTGGTCAATAAAATATCAAAATTGAGTCATACTTCACGATATTCAAACATAGTGTAACACAGCTAGACCTGTATTCCTCCGAAGCGCTTTCAGAGAAATCGTATGAGAAATACTCGGCGACAGTCCAATTTTCCGCCGAACCATCCTAGATGCACAAAGTGATAATTTCGACTTTCGGGATGGGCATTAAAGATAATAGACTGGTCACTTACCAGCGTTGGCTCTGGTAGCAAGAGCTCCGGAGGTTTGTACGGCGGGGTTAGTTCACCAAGAACATCCCACGACACGCCATCAAAGAAAGCGTGCCTCTACAGAGCCACGACATGTTAAATTCCAACGCAAACGGCAGCAGGTAGAGTAAACAAACCTTTAGCTGGTTGTAACCATCTTTTGTTGGCTGAGCGCCAATGCGTTTGTCGGGATCCTATTTTTTTTAATTGTGCAAGAAATTGTGTCATTCAAAGCTAGGAGAAAATATGGCGATCATGGAAAACAGTAACTTGAACAAGAAGGTTTCGAATCAGATCCTGCGCGATGTCCGGGACACTTTGCGGAAATTCGAAGTCATCGCTTGAGTGGTTGATAATCTGACGTCCAGAAGGAAGGTCAGGAGATAGTGATGTTTATAATTTTACCATATAGATGCCAACTTTACCACTTGAAATGTTAAGTAGTCATTTTCACCAACAAATGGAGCACGACCTGTAAACATCTGTACACAAGTCAATCTTAGCACACATATGCTCAATACCTTAAGCATTAATCGGCAATTAACGAACCTGAAAGATTAAACAGCCCAAAGCCCAAAGGTCGGAAGCTCGTGAGGCCGGCTGGTCGTGTAAGACTTCCGGGGACACGTATGAGGCAGTACCGCAGAATTGGCACACTTCACTACTCTCCCCATCTTGATCCTGGGGATTCGCTAACATTAGGCAGGCCTAAATGACAGCAAGGCCAAACTTACCTTAGCGGTACCAAAATCAGTCACCTTCAAATGTCCTTGCTCACTTGAATAAATTGCAAGAGCAAAAATTTAGCAGAAAATATGAAGCAAATCAATAACAACTTTATGTCATATACCTGAGGAGCAGGTTATCAGGTTTGATGTCTCGGTGAACGACAAGCTGCAGCATAAATTAAAATCTTTCAGTTAGCCCAGCGTAACCGCATTATGTTCAATTCTTAACCACCTAACAACACGCGCTATTCTTTTGTGCAATACCTTGGAATGCATAAAGTCAAGTGCTGTAACGAGCTCTGCAATGTAGAACTGAGTAAGCTGAAATGAACACGCCGCATCTGAAACTCCTTGCTGTTGCTTAATTTGATATTCCTTGCTACTTGTATGGAAACAGCATCAAGTTAAAAGTAGAAAGAATCGATGACGTTGAGCATAACACACCTGATCAGCCCGTTGAGATCACCACCTCGACAAAGCTCCATGACTAAGTACAAACTGTGCTTATCCTGTACTCACAGCCAAGGACACAATAATGCGATAAAAGGAGAGACAAATCAGTAGTCTGAACACTTTTTGCTCATCATAGCTGCAAACGCTCTAGACAAGAATCAAGAATGCCTTACGCGGAAGCTGCAGTAGAACTTGACTATATTCGGGTGTAAGAGACGCGACATGACCTTACGCTCAGTCAGCACGAAAGCTGTTTTGTTTTCCTTGCGAATGAAGTTTTGATCCATTACTTTTACGGCAAAGTCCATGCGATTTTTTTTCAATTGCGCGTGAAAGACCTTTAGTAGACCATCTGACATCAGTCACGATGCAGCAAATCTAAAGGTTGGAATTTAACACACCTTTGCGTACGAGCCCTGCCCTATCACTTTGCCGAAATTGAAATCACTAGCTTCAGGAGCCGCATCGAAGTGAAGAGCGTGCGCTGCTGGCGTGTCCGTCATCTCCCCAGCAGCTCCTTCGTCAAGTCGCTTCAGCAAAACACAAGCATCTTTTATAAACATACCGTGCACATAAATGTTACGCATATTTTGTACAAAACATATCCCCCCCTTTCGTAGCTGGTCGATATCAAAAGCTATCACCTAAATAGGAAAGTGCTTGCTTCTCTAACCCAATCGTCTGTGACGCATTATGGTGTCATTCGCGTCGCCATTATTCTGGCAGATCAATTATCTGGTGTCTAACTTGAGCAAAAAGAATTTTAAGTCTAACGTAGCTGAGCTTAACCAGGTGCCGATCTTTGTTCCTGTGTTTTTCCCCTTATGCCAACCAACTGTCTGAATGTGTGTGTCTACTGCAGCTCGTGGAACTCTATGGGGAAGATGCGCGCATCTTTCTCCTCAACTGCCTTGTTAAGGACATCGACTTTCGCGACACGCGTGGCCAGAAGGACGCTCTCAAGATCCAGCTACTCACGCATGAGGTTGCGCAGGCTTCTTCGCGCCCAAACTTTACCACCTTTATATGCGAGGTACGCACCAGTCGTTGCGATCTTCACCTGCTATGTTCCATTCACTAAGATGATAAAGTGCTTTTCATGTTTCAGGCGGTTGAAGGAAGTTCTTCGGCCATCGGTGGACACCATGTGACTGAAGAATATCTTCACCACTTTTGCAAAACTCTTAAGCTTAGCTTGCCGCAGCAGGTGACGGTCGGTCTGGCTTTTGCCCAGGGCGAAAATGCTGAAAGATCTGCTCAGGCTATTCAATTCCTGCGCACTAAGATTCTTGAACTTTCGACGTGTGGAGCCAAACTTCCCTCGGATGTGCTCCATTCGCTAGTGTTTGTGCTGCGCATGAATAAAGAATTTCGTGCTGATATCGCGGAAACCGACTCCTATCTTGCTAGTATCTCATCAGCGCACCCAAATGACATGGGATTACTTGAAATGGCTCCACTTACAATAGGCGATCTCGAACATGTGGACTGCGAGCCCATGACGGCATCAGACTCGCTCAGTAATCTCATATCAGACGTATCTTCTAATTGCCTATTCTATGAATTGATGGAAGACGTTGGCTACTCGTCTACGGCGTCCCCACAGACATTTCGCACGCTTCTTGCGGAGGCTGGTTTGGCCAAGGCTTCCTCGATTCCTCCAAACCAGGTGGCAGGAATGCTAGTAATGCTTTCGCAGACTTATACCGGTCTCGATGCAACGAATGGAGCAACTTTGATGGCGAATCTTACTATTGACTTTGAGGCCGCCGCGGCTGATGTTGCTGTCGCCGCACCAGTGCGGAAAAATTGGGATCTCGATGTCATTGCAGAAGTAATACAGAAGGACTACACTTCGATTAACTGGACTAAGGTAGCTGAGAAGCTCGATCGTCCTGATCTCAACATCCAGGATGTGACTCAGTTGCGTGTGCTTGTTACGGCTTTTCAACGGCTCTCGCAGACCAAATTCCGTTTGACAACTTTGCTGCGACCGTGGACTAATAGCCGGGCTCACATGAGTATTCTGAAGGTCGCTGTAGAGGCGCCACCGGATGTGCTTTCGTTCTTGGATTCTCCGCAAAAGCTGGCGCCGTTTGAAGGCGCCGATGCGTCTTCTGTACCTAAGAATGGCGTTTGGTTCTCCCTCGATATTGTAGAAACGCTGCTACAAGTCTCGGAAAAAGATTGTTACGGTGACGTGCGCAAGCTGTTAGATGGCGCGATGAAGACGTGCCCTGATGTGTTGATCGCAAATTTGGCCCAAGCATCGCCCAGTTGGAATGGTTTGCGTGACGACATGTTCTCAGAGCTATTTTGCACTTATATCATGGGCAGACCTAACGCACCACTTATTATGCGTCATCTTTGGTCTGTCGCGCCCAAATTAGTACTGTATGCAAGTGTAAAATGCTTTTACGCTGCGACGGCACCGCACATTGTGTCGCGACTGTTTGCGCTATTCCGCAACACAGGTGATTCATTTGCATCCGCGATTCATTCGAACTACTTCTCGTTTGCTCTGGCATTGGCCACGATGGGAGCGAATCACGACGTCCTTAACTTAGAGACATGGCTAGTAGAGCGCCTCGCATCGCAAAGAACGGCTTTTGCTACCTCGTGTCTGGCTTTTGTGCACCGAAACTATGCTCGTGCAGTGCCAAAAAGTAACATTACCCCGCAGTCCAGCCATGTACTGTCTATTGAGTCGTTAGCGACTATTCTTAAATGTATCATGACCGTTCAGAGCGCACTTCCGATCACCATATCACAAGAGCTCAAACGTATCATCACCTTATGCATGGAAACCCACCCAGTCATTTCGGCGTCTACGCGCCAGACCGGAGAAATTAGCAATTTGCACACCCCAGGATTAATTGCTGGTAGCGGAGCTATTGCAGTAGCAGGTGTTAGCACTGGAGCTGGAGGTGATACCATCTCGAGTAGCGGCGCAACCTCGACATACACAGCGGAAATGATCGAAGAGCAAGCAAACGCGTATTTTCAGCAGATCTACACTTCCGAGCAGAACATCAACGACGTTGTGGCAATGCTCAAACGCTTTCAAAGCTCCCGGGACGAGCGCGAACGTCAGATCTTTTACTGCATGATTCACAACTTATTCGATGAGTACCGATTTTTTCCTCGCTACCCGGAAATGGAGCTGCGGATTACGGGTGTCCTATTCGGCAAGCTTATTGAGCACCAAGTGCTTCCTTCCAACTTTCTCCAGACCGCGCTGCGCTCTGTGCTTGAAAGTCTTCGTGAGCCTGTCAACTCTAAGTTCTTTTTCTTTGGTGCGTGTGCATTGCAGCAATTTGTTCCGCGGTTGCGGGAATTGCCTGCTTATTGTACGAATTTATCGCAAATTCCTCACCTTCAACACGCCCTACCCGAAATCATGCGCCAAGTTAATCAGGTTACACGTACAATTTCTGCTTCGGGACCCGCGCTAGATGCGAGTGCTGGCAGTAGTGGTGCGTTGTCGCTGAGTGGTGCTCTGCAACCATTAGGTAGGCCATTTGAGGGAGATGACGCTTTAAGAGGCGACCCTAGCGCCGATTTATGTAGTGCTGTATCGCCAACGTCTCTTAAATCTGGATCGAAGGCTCAAGACGATATCGGCATCCAAATCCCGTCATCGATTTTAAGCCGGTCTGCCGGCCCGTCGTTGACATCTACGCCACTTAATGCACCAGCTAGTTCGCCACCTCCTGTTGCTGCCCCCACACCTGAGCTTAAGGTGGATCACATTTTTCATGATTCAAGCAAAGTTGATGAGAATGACGTTATCGAACAACCGGACGAAAATGTCAAGGATCGTATTCATTTCATCGTAAACAATATGTCTATCTCGAATTTGGAAGCTAAGATCCCAGAAGTACGTAAAATGCTGCTACCACCGTATCATGGTTGGCTAGCGAACTATTTGGTGGTGAAGCGTATTTCGACGCAGCCAAACTACCACACGGTTTACTTGATTTTTATCGAGAAGCTTATGCGTCCAGAACTTGAACTTGAAATTTTGAAACGCACTTTTCAAAATGCGCGTAAGCTGCTGACATCGGAAACAATCACGACAAACTCGCAGCAGCGTTCATTGTTAAAAAATTTAGGCTCGTGGCTTGGTGTCTTTACTCTAGCCCGCAACAAACCTCTGCTACAGCGTGATTTGGACTTAAAAGAGCTGCTGTATGCGGGCTACGAAACTGGTCATCTTATTGCTGTAACTCCTTTTGTTGCTAAGATTCTGGAGGGCTGCAAGAAGTCAAAGATTTTTAAGCCGCCTAATCCGTGGATTATGGGTCTTATTCATGCCATGAGCGAGATTTATGACGTGCCTGATCTCAAGCTCAATCTCAAATTTGAGATTGAAGTCTTGTTCAAATCATTCAAGCTGAATGTAGAGGATCAGCGGAAAGCACATTTACTGCATACGCGTCGCTCCCCACCACGTACAGCAAACCCTGACTTTAATGTCAAGCTTCCCAAAAATTCGAATGTTGGACAGCGCTCATCCACACCTCCGCCTGGCTCAGGAGTTAAGCTTGGCCAACCACTGACTCCTCGCAAGGTGAAGAAGTCAAGCGATGGTTTTGTACCTGCCGGTAGTCCGAATGAAAGAGAGGGAATAACATCTTACGGGCTTGGAGCTAATAACAATGGATCTGCTGCTGCGGAGTCAACGGTAATTCCTAATCTGGCGTCATATGTTGCTGTAAACCCCGAGTTGCCATTGCGCAATGTAAATCTGCGTCGTCTGGTGCCACTTGCTGTGGACCGCGCAATTCGCGAGGTGATATCTCCTGTGGTAGAACGCAGCGTGACTATCGCTTGCATCACGACTCGTGAGTTAATCTTAAAAGATTTTGCTTCGGAATCAGACGATACAAAGATGCGTAAAGCAGCTCATTTGATGGTGGCTTCCATGTCAGGATCGTTGGCACTCATCACAGCGAAGGAACCGCTTCGCAATGCGATTGGCACCCACTTGCGTGCTTTACTTCCCACCAGCGCTGGAGATCCGCAACAGCTTGAGCATGTGATTCAAGTTTGCTCGAATGAGAACACGGACCTAGGCTGCATGTTGATCGAAAAAGCGTCTTCCGAAAAGGCCATGCGAGACGTTGATGAGGCTCTTGCAGGTGCTTATGCAACACGTCGGCGTCATCAACAGCAACTGGCGCAAAACGGAAAAGCATCAGAAGCCGACAGAGTGCACTTCTTTGAGAATTGTGCAAGCAGTACATCTACAACAGCTTCTACTGGCTCTCCTGGTTCTCCTAGTGGCCAATGGCCCGCTGCTTTGCCTGAAGTCTTCAAACCAAAACCTGGTGGAATCCCACTCGTGCAGCTAGTGGTTTATGAAGCATTTCAACGTATTCCTCGACCCACATCAATGCCGCTGTCATCCCGTCCTGCTGTTGGCACATATTCAGTTGGTTCTATCGACAAAGAGGGTGACACTACTGGTGTTAGTGTGACTGCAGCATCAGATCGATTTGCTGGATTGCTAGAGCGCTTTGAGTTATTCGTGCAGAAAATGGCTCGTCAGGCTGCGGCATCGCAGCGTGAACTTCCTTCTTTGTTAGCGATTCCGACAGACAGTGAAGTGTTTGCTATTTTGCGTGAGGTTCGTGCGCTTGGTGGGAGTGTGCGTCCAGCATTGCGAGATGAAGCCTGCTTAAAAATTGCAAACCGAATCGTCAAATTTATGTACGAATTGGGTAACGGAGGTCAAGGCAACGACTTGTTCTTAGAGATTCTTGTGAGCTCGTTGGAGGCACTGACTACTAGTTGCGAGAAACTTCGCAAGGAGATTGCGGGATGGGTATTGCGCGCACCAGTGGATGACAAATTAAAGCTGCACTGTGGAATAATTGTGGCTCTTATTCGATTCAAAGTGGTTGATGCTGTTGAGTTCGACATGTATTTGGCTCGAAATATGGAACGAAATAGTGTGGCAATCGAGTTTGCAGTTCACGTCGTCCGTCAATGCCTGACAATGAATCACGTCAGTGTTGCTGCTCAGCTGCCGAACACTCTTGAAGCTCTCGCCCACATTGTGGAACGCCATGGAGGTGCGACGGCGAACAAGAACGTTCAGATTCTAGCTGCACTTCTGGAGCAGGCGCGTGTGCAAAGAAGTCGTCCTACTTTACCAGTGCCGCAAAAAAGCATGGGCGCAATCGGAAGTGGTGGTACTGCCAAGCCAGCGGGTGAGCGATCTCTTGTACACGAGCACGCTGCATTCAAACACACCGTGAGTAATGCGTTGGAGCACTGGATTGCCATTTACAAGGAGCCTACTGGTAACTCTAAGATGCATGCACAGTATCTTCAAATGCTAAAGCAGTACGGATTACTTGCTGACGATGAAAGTGTGTCACTTTTTTTTAAATTTGGTACCGAGCTATGTGTTGATGCCTGCTTGAAGAGCTCGTTCGCCGCAAGTGATCCTGCTGCACTTAAAGCTGGCGCCAAAGTTCCACTAAATTACTCAGTATTAGACGCTCTCACGCACTTGATGGCGTTGCTGGTGAAGTACCTCGACCCATCACCCGCGGCAAAGTTGCAGGTGCTAAATCATGGTGTGGGAGCGATTGCCAATGTACTTGTTGCAGCCCATGACATGTCGCGCAAAAAGAAGGCCCCTTTCGACCAACGCGTTTTTTTTCGTATGTTTGTTAATCTCATGAAGGAGCTGACGGCTCAAGAACCTACTTTGGATGCCATCCATCTGCAAGTACTTAACACATTTGCTAGCGCGTTTAACACGCTTCAGCCTGTAGGATTGCCTGGTTTTGTGTTTGCTTGGACGGAGCTTATTTCGCACCGATGCTTTATGCCGTTATTGCTGCGAGCGAAGCAGCAACGTGGTTGGCAGATTTTACATCGTCTGCTGATGAATCTGCTGGTGTTCATGGAGCCATTCTTACGCCATGCCAACTCGTCTACACCACTACCAATTTCCATTGCGGCACTTTACAAGGGTGTGACACGCATCATTTTGGTGCTTCTTCACGACTACCCGGACTTCCTAAGCGACTTTTATACGAGTTTTTGCGACGTATTGCCTGCAACTTGCGTGCAACTACGAAATGTTGTTTTGTCGGCCTTTTCGCGCTCGACGCGCCTGCCTGATCCCCTCAGTTTGGGTCTACAGGTCGCCCAGCTCCCTGAAGTGAGCGTGGCCCCGCGGCTCATGTCATCATGGGGAGCCGCTCTCTCACACAACGGCATCAAGGATCATGTTGACGAATTTCTTCATGCACCGTCAAACCGCGCCTCTGTCTTTCCTTTCGATCTGATCTCGAAGCTAATCCGTCCTTCTGCCCAATTGGAGCACGACCCAACGTCTTGCAAGTATGCATTGCCTGCACTTAACGCGTTAGTACTGTATCTGGGCAAAGAAGGTATTGCCGATATGACGAACTGTGGTTTGACACCAACTACTGCGCTAAAGACGTCATCAGGATCTGAGAGCGTTGCCAATCCTACTGACAAATTTGAGCAGACCGCAGCCATGGATGTTTTTCGGTACCTAGCGGACGAGCTGGATGCGGAAGGCCGTTATTGGTATTTCAGCTCTTTGGTGAATCACTTGCGCTTCCCGAACAGCCACACCCACTATTTCAGCTGCGTCATTCTCTACTTATTTTCGTACTCGAACAACAAGGTGGTCAAGGAGCAGATCACACGTGTGCTCATCGAGCGTCTCATCGCCAACCGCCCACACCCATGGGGCCTCTTAGTGACTTTTATCGAGTTAATACGCAACAAGAGCTATAAGTTTTGGGAGCAAGACTATCTCGAATGCTCAAGCGAGATAAAGGAGGTGTTTGACGATGTTGCTCGCACCTGTCTGGCCACGGCACCTACTGTCTCGGGGGCGAGTCCGCTGGGTTCAATAGGCAATAGTTCTGTATCCCCTAGTGCGTCTGTGCATCATTCCCCCTAATTGGTGTATACTTATGCATTTAATCTAAAGTTTCACGGCGAACATTTTGCCGGGGTTTCACTTATGAAGAGGACAAGTTTTTGTGAAGATGATGAAACTTTGAAAAAAAGAGGTTCACGGTACACATGGGCTGTTAGTCACACATCGAACAACAAAAATATTTTATATTTTAAGAGGTACTAGAATTTATATATTCTACATAGAATTTTCTCTTATAAAGGTACTATTGAAATAGCAGAGCTAATTTTATAAAAATACTCTGCAGCGGGTGCCGTAGCTTTGCGCTTGAGGAAGCGTAATTCAGGTCACCGACCTCTCGTTCTTTATCGCTACCTCCAAAAGTAATAGTGCCTTAACTAAGGCTAATAGACTCTTCGGTTTGAATTCAAAACTGATTTTTATTTATTTTTATCTGCGGCTAAACCGCTTAATTTTAAATGTATAGATTTTACTAAGTATATATAGTAAAATCTAAATACATGCATAACTACTGGCTACCTAGCCACATACCGTATTCATGTTTGGGTGCAGTCACACCATGCACATCTCGTGTGACACACACATTTGTTACCAGGGTACGTGTAAACACGTTACACCCTCCCCCAATAAGATTGAGAAAAATTTAGTATCAATCGATTATTGCCTCAGCGAGGCTCGCGTGTCCGCTAGACACTGCAACTGAATTCATTAGAATAAAACAACATCCTTGCTCAATGAGCCCTGAGTCAACGACACGGAAGTCACCAAGTATCGCTGGTTCTGACAGCGAACACGGGCAGAGCCCAACTTAGTCTCCCGCACGCGGTGCGATGTCGGACAGTGCGTCCGCGGCACCGAGGGGTGTACATCCTAGGCTCCATGAGCACGAGCGTCGCGCTTTGCGCGCGCTATCAATGCCGAGTGACCTCGTTGAGGATGTGGAGGTAGTCGACTACGAGTCTGACATTCCTTTTCCCGCATTGGATGACAAAGAAGGCGAGCTGCGCCAGCGGCGTGATACAAGCCCTGCTCGCGCCTTGCGGACCCCATGTCCGTTCCCTGCGAGGAACGTGGTGTAATCACCAATGATCTCGACGGGGCTCAGAGGCGGCAGCTTGAAGCTACTCATAAGGAGGCTCAGAAGCGCGCTCACCCACAGCCGGTCATTGACCCTCGTGTGAAATATGGCTTTCGCCCAGCGAATCCCGCTGTGGAAGCGAAGGACGCGGTAACTCGATCGTTACGCGTCCACATCATCAGGCCCCCTGCCAAAACGGAAGATAAACTTGTCACACGGAAAGCTCTTCGAGCTCGTTTCTTGGTCCCACAAGAAATTCCGCTGGACTTTTATCGCACTCGTCTACGTGCTCAACGAGGTGGCTCTCGTGTACCCGCAATGCGGACAATACCTGTAGTGCTCGCCCCTGACGAAAGCGCTACAGATGACGAAGCGCTCTTTGAGCAATGGGTGCAACGGCACCGGAAACATTCCTCACTGTACAACTAATAGTTGAGCCACAACGAGGTGGACGTGCGTGTGGAGCGACACCTCCGATTTGAGTTTGCCAAACTCAAGGCACGCC